GATGTTTATTTTTGGTAAAATAGGTTATAAATAATGCATTAAAGTTATTTCCAGTTGGATCCTCCCGAAAGTAAATTTTCTTTTTCCCCAAACGATATTATTTTATACGTGCTTCAAAACGCAATGTATAGTCCCGTATGCAGTATCACACGGGACTTAATACTAACGACTTAAAAGTGTGCTAGTGTAAACTTGCATTTTAGCCCTCCAGTCAAACCACAAGGAGGTCAGCAACGGAATTGAACCCGGCACTAATGGCCTGAAAGGATCTGCACGGTTTAGAGCACATACACTGTTAAAAATCGCTGTAGTTTTGACAGTAATTTACTGTAATTCACTACAGTAACATACTGTATTTTTCATTTTACGGTATCATACTGTAAATAGTAAAATATACAATAGTCTACTGTATTTTACAAAATGTTGACAAATATTTTACAGTAGCTTAGTAGACTACTGGAAAATCGCGGCTTTCCAGTATTTTACTGTTTTTATCGAGCATGATGGGATAGTGTGGCATCATCATCATCAGCTAGTCATCATCATCTTTGGCGCTCATACTCGGTCGGCGAACAGCAGATAACCACGCACAGTATTCCAGGTTAGTAACTGCATGATAATTGTATTATTTCGAGTTCTATTTTAAAAATATCAGGAACCTAGTATCTACTACAGTACTGACTGATAACAATATTCATAAATATACCTTATTTTTACTGTAGACACCTAAATGATAGAATAAGGCTCGTTAGGCGGGTCTCTTTCTTCCCCGTACTCAGCATCATCACGTTGCCCGCGGCCGCTGGCGCTGCGCGGTTATCGCCTTAGGCTCAATCAAGAGGGGTTCTTTTTTGCCGTCTATTTTTTGCACGAAATTTAGAAACCTGATTATTTAAACAATCTTTATTATTTTTAATGCACTAAATTTATAAACTTGATTATTCAAACAATCTTTAACATAAGTAAATTATACACTTTATTTTACGATGTATGTAGCAGGCACACCTGTAAAAACCTGTTAATAGATGGTGAAAAGTCATGATACTTGTAGTTTACAGAGGGCGCTATAGATATGACCTATTTTTATCGTTTGTTTACTACTTCTTGGCGATAGGCACTCTACGTAAGCTTGTTGGTATGCTAATGAGAACATTGGGAATTCCCTAAAAGGGTTTCCCTGCCTTTTTTTTTTTTTTTAATCTTTTGTTTTCAATTTTAGTATGTATACTTGTGACATATGCCAGTATTCTTCTGAGTCTGTAAAGGCATTTTTATTATATACAAAGTTTCATCGAAATGTCCCAAATTTCCAATACTCATGTGGAGTACCTGAGTGTAGTTACACATGCAAAAACTTTTCTACCTTAAAATCACATACCTACAGAGACCACATAAAAAAGTACAGGCCCATTGCACTACCATCAAGAAATATAGATACAGATATAACTTTGACTTGTGAAGTAACAGCATGTTGTTTTGTTTGTAAAGACATCCAAAGTTTATTTGCTCATTTAAAACAACACATTGAAGATGGTATAGAAATTGTTTGCCCATTTAAAAAGTGTTTGAAAGCATTTAAAATAAAATCATCATTCACTTCACACTTGTCCCGAAAACACATAGATCATTCCATTACACTTTTGTGTGATTTACAAAATAGTGACGCACAATCAAAATCCAGTGAGCTGCAGAACCCACTGTCTCAAGATGATATTCATGTTTATGATAATAATGAAGCATACGATGATGATGATGAGGAAGAAAATGATGACGATATCACTCAATTCATTAATATTGACAAAAATATGTATCTTAATTCCCTTGGATTATTATATTTGAAATTGTATGCCAAATTTTTGTTACCAGCTTCAACTATTCAAAAAATTATTGAAGAATTCCAAGAAATACACTGTATCGGTCAGTCATATTTTGTAGCTAAACTACATGAGAAGCTTGTTTCAAGAAACATGTGTAATGCTGATGAGGCTAATCAAATAATTAGTGAATTAGCCAAAGAAGACCTTTTTAGTGCATGTAATAATGGTGTATTAAGATCAGATCAAACACGTAAAACATTCTACAAAAAAGCATTTCACTATGTGGAACCTATCCAAATTTACTTAGGAGTAAGCGATACTGGAAAACATAGATTTTGTCAATATGTTCCTATAAATAATACCTTGAAAGCACTTTTTAAACATGCTTCTGTAAGAAATCAATATAATCAGACCCAGCAACATGTTCCACATGACGATATATTAGAGGATGTAAAGGATGGCAATGTATATGTAAATAATGCCATATTTCAAGAATTTCCATCTTCACTCTCCCTAATTTTATATCAGGACAGTTTTGAAGTTGTAAACCTTTTAGGTTCAGGGGAAAAAAAACACAAAATTCTAGCAGTGTATCTCACTCTTGGTAACATTTTTCCATATAATAGATCCAACATTGATCATATCCAAATGGTGCTTCTTTGTAAAGAACAGGATTACAAAACATTTGGGTATAAAACTGTATGTAATCGTTTGGTTGAAGATTTGAAACATTTGGAAACTAATGGAATTATAATTGAGGAATTGGATAATAGAGTCATTAAGGGTACAGTCTTTGCTGTAGCTGGTGACAACCTTGGATCCCATAAAAATGTACAGAAAATTTCAGTACAACTAAAAATTGGTGTCGTTATTGCCTGCTGGATAGTTCAACTTTTCGATTAGCTCCAACATCACTTGGCCCTATAAGATCTGTTGAAAGCTATAAGCATTGTGTGCAGGAGAAACTTAATGATCCTTCCTCGGAGCCATTTGGAATCAAATTTGATTCAATATTTAATGAGTTAAGATATTTTCATGTATGTCAGCCAGGGCTACCACCATGTCTTGGACATGATTTGTTTGAAGGTGTTCATTAATTATTTTGTAAAGGTCAAGAAATATTTCACATATCAGCAGTTGAATAGAATAATTGGGATGTTCAAATACCAAGGAACTGATTCCAACAACAAGCCATGTGAAGTAAACATTAAAGGGGAAAAATTAGGTGGTCATGCTGCACAGAATTGGTGTCTTCTGAGGTTATTGCCTATTTTTGTAGGTGACAGAATAAATGATCCATTGGAGGATACAATTTGGCAATTAGTCTTACAGCTTAGGGAGCTTGTGAACCTAATTTGCGCTCCTAAAATTAGTTTCAATCAAGTGGCGTACTTAGGTGTACTTATTGTTGACTATATTGAAGGACGAATTTCTGCATTTCCAGAAAATAAAATAAAACCGAAGCATCACTTCTTACTACATTATCCCCAACTAATTCTTAAATTTGGCCCTCTTATTAGACTTTGGACTTTACGTTTCGAAAGCAAACATACTTATTTTAAACGTTGTGCTAGGCAATCACAAAACTTTAAAAATATTTGCTACACTCTTGCTACAAGACATCAGCTTTTACAAGCATATTTAAGTGCAGGTTCCTTTTTTCCTTCTACTGTTCAAGCAGACAAAGGGATAGAATTTTATGTTTCCGCTTAAAACAGCAAAATTGAAGACTCTGTTAAGGAATTTCAATTCCTTCCAGAAAACACTATTGTTTTAAACAGTATTATATATAAAGGTACATTATATAAAAAAGGTTTGCTTGTGCCCCTTGAAGAAAATGCTACTGGTGTGGTGTTTGGTAAAATTGAAATGATCCTTAACTATTGTAGCTCAACAATATACCTTATTACACAAATATGTCAGTCAGTTAAGGTGGTAGATCTAGGTGTGTATTCTTTGGTTTATGACACTCCTGATAAACAACAATATAGTTGTGTGCAAATTGATAATTTATTTGATTATTATCCTTTACCAGAATACAAAATACGTGGTTTGACGCTTGCTTCACTGCATCATGAACTGTGTTATAAATACTAAATTTTCAGAGCATAATGGATGATTTCATAAAGAATGCTATACAGTCTGTATTGCCATCTCTGAATGAGGATTTGCTTATGGCTGTGGTAGAGCGGTTGAATGGCCATGGTGTAGAAACTGAAGAGGACCTTCAATTTGTGACAGAGGATGATGTAAAAGATCTCCTAAAAACAATTCAGGCCCATAAACTAATATCTAGTTGGAAGAAGAATGGTAAGTTCTTGTAATGTAATGTGTAATGTAGTTTGATTTATATAGCGCTTTATACAGAAGCGCTGTGGACTATAGCTCGTACAGTAACTTTCTTCTCCCCTAAGGGTCTCTGCATGTCTGAGCTACCCAGTAAACCGGTACCAGCTACTCTCATCTGTCCACAGCAGATGAGAGTTGTAGGTTGCATAATAATATATTTAATCACACTGGTAATGCTTTCTCATTACACAATCCTTCTGTTTTGCTGACAGTAGTATTATAGGTGTGTGCTTACTGTATATAATCGGAAAAAATATGAATTGAATTGAATCTATGTCAGTTTACTGACTGCTAAGGTGTAATATGGCCTATTCTAATGGTGCCGGTACAGAGATTCACCGGATCAAAATTACATCTGCCCTTTATTAGATTATTTAGTGAACATCTTGTTTTATTTATGCACAGATACTTTCCTGTAGTACTGCTGGATTGCATAATGATATCCTGTTTGCTTCAGTCCATTTGTTGTAATTTTATAGGCTGCAACGTAATGCAGTTTGAATTGTTATGTTTCAGATCCATTTGCTAGTGTAATGCCGATCATTCCCATTGATCTACCTTCACTATCACCATCCACATCTTCTGAGAGATCTTCATCGGACGATTCTCAAGCAGTACCTTCAATAGTATCACCTAATAGTTCATCTATGAATTGGCCGGAGGTAATTGATATACCTTTTGATAAATTTCCTCATGGTCTTAAAAATGCACTAAGATCGGGGAATCGGCCAAGCCCGGCAGAAAGAAGACACATGGTGAGAATGGTCGTAGATGTAATGCGGACATTTAAACCTAATCCAAATAAGGCACAGTGTGCATCCGTGGCAAAAGCAATCGTTGCGCAGTATCCTGACAGTTTTATTGACAAAACTGATGATGGAGAAAAACTTGGATGTGGATATTATTCACTGTTAATGCAAATCAAAACGCGTGTGGAACATGTTAATAGAAACAATGATGCAGCACGCATGAGGAAGAAAAAAAAGAACAATAACAACGAAGTTGCAGCAGCTAATGAACAACCAGCAGTTGACTCATATGGCTGCATTAACTGGCAGCCAAATGAATTGCCTCCAGGTGAAACTGATGAAACCTTGCAGTTCAAGAAGGGGGAATTGATTGACCACTATGAGCAGTTTGGTCCAACCCAATCCGACAATGAAAACATTGAGCAGCTGATGAGCGACACTTACATCTTGCAGCGTAAAATGCTTAACTCAAGAAATCCATCGCCTACCATTCCTGAATTCAGAAAGAACTGGCCATACTTGTTTGTAGAGAGGGGGCTGTTTGTACACTTTCATAAATTGACGGGTATACCAATACACATGCGTTTAAGGGAGGCCATACTAAAGAAAGGAATGCGGATAATTAAATTTTTTGAAAGTCAACCAAACCCAAAAAGAGGAGTAAGCCTAATACTTGAACAATTCCAGTCAGAGGATTGTGAAATGGTGGCACCAGCGGTTGTTTTGTTGATGATGGCATATTTTGGGGAGAAGGAAAGTGCACTATTCCTTAAAGTAGACGTAAGTAAAAAGAGTAATTTTAACATGTTGAGGGAATTTGTAATTTTTTGGTTTTGGGAGTGTGGGGGGGGGGATAGTGAGTGGTGAGGATAGTGGGTGGTGATATTAAAGGTATTTTACTACAAATAGCACTTAACCTTAACTTAACCTCCACTCCAGCACTTGGTGTATTGGTGTGAAAATATTGTATTAATTTTAGGTGTTTTTTTTTGTATTTGTTACAACAGGCTCTGGATACTGAAGAAGAGGTAGAAAACCGTGTTGACCTACCAAAGACACCTCATTTAATTGTTAAAGGTATTTTTTTTTTGGTTTTTTTTTTTTCAATATTTCATTTACTACATATATAAATACAGTATAATCATAATATATTAAAATTGCTTTGTAATTTAGTGACAGTTTGTGCTTCAGTAAGGTTTCAAAAGTAATAGTGTTTAATTTTTATTTTTTCCTTACAAATGATTTTGTCAGTAAATAAATATTTTGGGTTTTTATGTTTAGTAAATTGAAAAAAAAAAATTATTATTTCAGGAGAATCTATATTTACAGCAAAAGAGTGGATGGTAGTCTTGGATGGCAAGGTGGCATATGTTATATCACCTTCAGAGGGCAGTTTGGTAAAGGCTCTTGCAACACTTTTTGCAAGCTACTATGCGTTTAACTATGAGTATCAGGAAGAAGCGGCTACCACATTGGAGTTTATACAAAGGTAAATTAAAAAATTTTAAAATAATGTTGTACTCCTCATGTGCAATGATAATTCATGTTTTTGTTCACGTCATTGTTCGCATTATTGAAAAGCAAGGAAAGGAAGCTTGTGTATTCATAGTATTTTTGACAATGCTTACACTATTTACATTAATTAGTGTATAAAGGAATCCGTGTGTAAAACAAGAACTAATGTTGAAGCGAGTCTCTACACTTTAGTAACTATTGTATATTAAACAACATGTCATGATACATCAACCTTTAAATATTTATTTATTTTTTTAATTTATTACGCTTCATCATTGCACAGAAATGACATATACAATTGGGGAAAAAAATGGACAGGAGCAAAAAAGATGAACATGTTACAAGCACCTCTTACATCCCCTCTTGAAAAAATAACCTCACAATCAAAGATGCAAGAAAACAGAACATTAAAAAAAATACATCATTTTTTAAAATTTCAAGATAAGATAATTAATTATTTATTATTATTTAATTATAAATAACAATACACAAATTAAATATGAAATAATTATATGGTATGTAGAAGATCTAGAAAAATTTATTTTTTTAATTCTTGTTTATTACAGATGCTTAATACGTATAAATCCGGAGGCTGGGACGAAATGCACTACTACAAATAGGACCAGCAAGAAGACTGGTAGACTTGTACAAAGAAAAAGGGAAATAATTAATCCTCATGTTGCCACATTTATTAAAAACTTAGCAGATTTTGAATGGACGTCTGCTTAGGAATCAAGATATGGATGTCAGTAGATTTATAGAAATAGTTTTATGTACATTAGCCTCCAAATTTTTTTTTCCGCTAATATAGAAGACATGCGATGGGCTGCTAATAACTTTTTTTATTGGGTCTCTGATCCCCTGATCCTCAACTTACTTTAATAAGTGTGGCCTACCATGGGTGTATACTGGATAATGTCTACCAGTAAGGAATATCTTTTAAAGAAGAGTGAAATTTATCATGTCACATAAGTTTAAAATAATATTTTGTTTTTTAAATCATAATTAATTTTCAATTATTTTATTGTTTTCTTATCAAATGGTTTGGTTCCACTTTCTTAAAAAAAATAACCTTGGATATTAAAACTCTATAAATATATTGTAAATTATAAAGTTTAATGTACTCCTTTTGTATATTCTCTCGGAAAAATTCACTGAGGGGAGGCTATTTTTTACTGTGAAGTGTAAAAGGAGTTTTTTAGTTTATAGATGGATTCAAATTACTGCCTGCCTGATTTTGTGAATTGCATATGTATAGAGTTCTCAATTTTCATTTTTTTTTTACTGTTTTATATGTTGACAAGAGTTTATGTATTGTAGCATCCTCTAATAAACATTTATTACTACAAAGTTAATCACGTATTATTTTCTTTATTTTTGTATGTTCAACCTAAAATTTAGTGAATATAATCATCATCCTCTAAAGTGAAAATACAATTGAAACATTTAGTAACTTTACAGGACGATGATTTTTTATTACATTATTATTTCGATCTGAAATACAAACAGTATTTTTTTTACAGACTTAGTCGTTTTTCTTACTGGACTTACCAATTACAGCAGAATAATTATTACTGTATTTTTGGCTATAAATCAAATACAGTTTCGCAGATTCTACTGTATTTTTTTACAGTAGTATTTCCTCTACTGTACTTACAATTACAGTAGAATGCTTTACTACTGTATATTTTACAGGAAGCATTTACAGTATTGTCAATTTGTACTGTAATTTTTACAGTAAGTTACTGTTACTACATTTACAGTAATTTATTTATACTGTAAAATTTACAGTAAATTACTGCTTTATTTGTTTACAGTAACACTGATCACTACTGTGAATTTTACAGTAAATTACTGGCGTCTGAGCTGCCAGTAATTTAGTGTAAATTTTACAGTTAACAGTGTACACACTATTGAGAGATGCTTTATTATTCTTCATTGATCAACAGAAAATGAACACTAAGATAGTTTTGAATATTTGAGATTTAAATAATAATTGAGCAGACAACATTATAAATTTTAGGTTGGTCATTAAATTAGTAGTTTAACCCAATAGGTTAAGAGCATAGGTTTTGAAAACTGGCATTAAACGATTAATAAAACTAAAGACAAAACAAAATTCTAGTGAAGTAGTTGTAGTTGAGAAAATTTAAATATCTGATATTCTCCTGAAGACGAGTGAAGCAACTCAATCGAAACGTCGAGACTTTCTCTACTGCAACAGTTCTTTTCAGAACTACCAACGTGGTGTACGGCAAGCAGCAAAATGTCAGATTATAGAGCTTAGTCAGTTGTTATCTTAAGTACTGCGAGGCTGTGAGCATGGAGGAATCCTCCATGCTGTGAGCGAGTTACAGGGTTTGTTTGTTTTTTGTTTTTTTTGTTTTTTTTACCTCTCATCTTTTGAGCGATTTAAAAGCCAACAATAATATTAGCCTGAACATTAATTTCATGAATGACACTTCCCCACCCCTTCAGTAGAGAAGAGCTGATGACTATTTACACTTTTTTTTAACCAGCTAAAAAGCACTCTACAGGGGCGGATCCAGAGACGTCCGAAAAGGGGAGAGGCAAAAGTGGGGCCGATCGAGATAATTATTTTTTTCTAGACGCCAGAAAATAACCTCTTATTCTTTTTCCTTATTTTTTCCCTTTTTCTTACTTTCCAAAGAGGGGGAGGGGGCGCTCCTCTAAATCCACCCCTACTGTGGGAGGACCGGACGTCTTTCCCATCCGATCATGTGGATCCGCCCTGTCGACCAAATGCTGCAAGTATTGCCATAACAGAATATTCTAAAGCATAATATTAAATACTGCATCGTCTTTAACTGTAATTTTACAAAGACCTTTGCAAATCAAATTCAAATTAGGCCTACCTTTTAAATTAAGAACATGATTTTGTTTATAAGGCGGGTAAGATACTACCGTGCCAACTTTTAAAGAAATAGTAACTAGTGCATTATACAACACATGCTAACAATACATGCTAAAATGTTGTGATTTATGTAGTCTGTAGACATTCCTTATTCGTCACATATTGACTTATTTTAATGATTAACAAAGTCAGTTGATAATGTAGTTGATAATGTATTTTATTACATTATATTTAGTGAACATATACGCGTTTGTATCAGCCGCACAC